TCATAATTATAGTTGTGTTGTTCTTTATTGTTATGGGGATTGGATTGTGACCAGTAGAAACAAAGGTGTTGAATTTTACTGATGGATGAAAACTTATTAGGTGCTTCTAGGATTTGGTCTTCAGGCAACTACAGATGTTAGTAAAAAGACAGGTCACTTTGCTGTAATTAAAGCACCTGTAGCATCTTGTGTATCTGCATCCCCATGCTTCAAAATGGCAGTAGGGGAGCTTGAACTAAAACTCATTGAATGAGCTTTAGTTCAAGTGCCACTGCCGCCATTTTAAAGCGTGCTGATGCATGAGATGCGGAGGCTGGCTGGAGTGCACTAGGACGCTCCAGCAGACTCAATTAATCGAGTCTGCTCCAATACACTGTAATTACAGCACATTGAAGCAGCCTCCTGGTACATCTACAGGGCACCCTTAGTGTTTTTTACAACTGACTCCTGCTTCTTATAAAGTTATTAGCCTTTGAAAAACCTTAAGGCCTCCAGGATTGGCAGTTCTGCAGAATCTGACAAACATAACTTAAAGTTTGGTATCTTAAGTGAAAGGGTTTTGACCTTGGGCTGTACTCTTGTAGTGAGGTAGGTAGCCATGTAAGTCTGAAATCAGGAGAAGGCAGGAGAAGCCTAAGCTTTTGTAAGCAACAGTTTACTACTTCAGATGTTTAAAAGTTGGTGCAGTTCTGTGCTCTCAGCTTTGTATCCAAGTTGGATGCTTACTTGAGCATGATAGCAAGCAGAAGTCAATCTGTTCTCCTGGGATCTTGTATTGCTAACTACACTGAAGTGGATTCTTTATGCTCTCATGCAAATCGCATTTGGATTCATTATGCTCTCATGTGGAAAGCTTGCTTTGAGAAGTGCTTTTTTTTCTATTTTTGCACCATCTTCCTACCTTTGCTCTGTTAACATTGTTTTAGAATTTTGTAATAGGAATCTATGGTTGAGGAAATTTATGACTTCTTTTAGCCTGCTTTCTGAAGGTTGGCACTAAGCTGACATTCACGACATTCATTCAACAGTGTTTCTTTAGAATGTCCATAAAGCTTGGTGAGCAATCTTAAGTAACCAGTTAGTATTAACTAACCTATTTTTAGTACTCCATGTGTAAAAGGACTGTCTGCTAAATGCAGAGAACCATGATCAAGGCAGACTCTTGAAATCAGTGATTCTTTAGCTGAGGTGCTGTGAGACCCTGTTAAAGAGTGTCATGCAGCCCGGCCCTTGTGTGAGCTAACTGCTCTCCTCCCTTGTCTAGTGCCTTGCCCCCAACTCTCCCAGTAGTGTCTGCAGCTGCTCCTCTGAGGACTGCTGTTGTCCTTCCTGATCCTGGGCAGCCCCTATGTGAGATGCCCCCCACACTTCCAGCACTGTGGCGTGCTGCAGGTGGGTGAGTCGCCATACAGATGTAGCTGCATTTTGCAGTCCAGCTTGTCCCTTCTACTCCTCCTATGGCTGGCAGAAGGGACTGTGGGGGGCAGCCGCCAGCATATCAGACCCTCAAGATTTAAACTCAGCGGTGGAGACTGCCTTGCCCCCTCAGGTATGGATGTGGTAGTGGGGATAGAGGATCAGTAGAAATAGTAGAGCACCACAGGAGGGTTGGTTCCAGTGATTCCTAAGGCTTCCTCTATCTCTTCTGAATTTAGGTTTTACCTCAGTGATTCTCAGACTGGGGTGTTGTGAAAATCAGAAAAAATTAAAAGAAGGTGTCTTGAGGCTGCCCTAAATAAATTGATATTTTCTGATATTGCAGGAGGAACAAGTGTTTCTAGTGCTCTTGAGTGTCCTGAAGAAGAGAAAAGAACTATAATTTCACTGGACACCTCACAAATGGTATGTTATAACTTTTAAAATATCTGCAGTAGACTTTAACTATTTATCCTGTGAATTTTCTCCTAAAGAAGGTTAAATAATCACTAGAATCTGTGGTCGTTGCCTATATTGGAAGGATTAAGAAAGCATTCCAGTATTTTAAAATTGCTTTACTATTGACTGTTTAGGTATAAGAGCAGAGCAGATATAATACAATGTTGCAGTGCTGTGTCATACCTAAACTGCCATTCATTGTGTACATGCTTTCCAGGAATGAGTCTGGGCTCTAGTATTGTCCTGTTGATTTTTTTTCTATATATTAGTAGATACATAGATTTATAACTAGTAATTTGCAGGGTACCTTTGTAAAATGGTGGTAAAAATGTTACAAGTCTAGAAAGCAAGAAAAGTACAATGTGACATGAGTCTTAAAGGGGTAGAGGTAGAAGGAAGGGCAAGGTAGTACCTTAGAAATTAACTGAGCCAGAGGGGCATGAGCTTATGCAGGCAGCAACTCGTTGCCTGCAAAACATCATGCTTCTCTGAATTGGTGAATTCCTAAGGTAACACCCTGCCTTACCTTCTGCCTGGCTTCAAACTATCTGGCTTACCGCATCCAAGCTCATTAAAGGGATACAGTTACACTGCCACCTGGGAAGCTGTGGCTGGTGGAGCACAAGTAAAAAAAAACAAAAAACAAAAACAAACCCACGTTTAAGCACCCCCCCCACCCCCACCCCCCCCAAAAAACAGTTCTGGCCTTTGGAAGTAGATCCTATCATTTTGTGCATCTGGTTCCTGGGTCTTAACAGCATATTCCCTTCCAAGTGGGCTAGGACTCTTTAAGTGGACTTCTCAGTTTTGGAAGCTTTCAATGTTATGGAAGCCTTGAAAGTTTCCAAAATGTTCATTTCTTACTTGCTCTGTACTCCAAAATGTGCTCAAATGCAACTTCACTGTCTGGGTTTTTGCATGATAATGGTAGAGAAACGTTTATGAAACTCAGATTGGCTGAGACAGTCTGTTTTACTTAAATTTTAGTTTTGATTTCAAGTTGTCAGTGCCCCTTTGAACCAGTGAGTGAGATTGTACAGAGTGCTAGGTTCTGAAGTCATGGTTCAAGCTTGTTCCATTACCAGGGCTGTTTAAACCAAATGTCCATTGTTCTTTTAGGATCTGTTCCTGCAGCAGCAGTTAACCATGGTTCATATTGTTCCCATCCCTTTTCTACTGTCAGTTGTTGTATTTCTTTCACAGTGCAGAGCAGAATTTGTTCACTTCCTCCTCTTCTAAATTGGCCATTCAGCATCACTGGTAGTTTTAATTGAAACATCCCTGCAACATTTTCACACCTTCCACTCCTGTATAGCCATACTTACAAACAGCTAGGCTAAATCAAAGCAGCATTCTGTATGTGATGCTCTGGGTTTTGGGCCAGTCAAGCCATGTGCTGCCAGGGTATGAAACTCAGCTGGGCTAGTATGTCTGGACATCCTTCCATGTGAGGAGCTGCAACTCCCATCGCACAATATGCTGTCTTCCCAATTAAAAATTCAAGGACTCTGGCAATGTGACTGGAACCCTAGATGGGGATGGCACATAATGAGACATCTGGAAGGCTTCAGTTTCTTGATTTTTAAAAAGGACAACACAAAGCCCTGCCACAGCAGTAACTTGTCAGGGTCTAACTGCAAAATGGCAGGGGGAGGAGGGGTAAAAAAAAAAAGAAAAGAAAAAGTAAGTCTGAGATTTGTCCTCTTTGGCTCCATCTGCCGTACTGCTAGCCAAAAAGACATTGGTTTTTTGAAATTGTTTGGTGGTTGGTGCTGAGATCACTTCACGATTACCTCTCACCTAGGCATTACTGTTGAAGAACCAGATTTAAATCTCTCCTCTCTCTTCAAGAAAGTACATCTGTATAAGTACAGATTTAACCTCTAGCTGACATCTAGGATTTTTAAAGTCAGCAAATCAATATTTTGCATATTACTAGATGTATAGTTTTTTGGGGTCTTGGAATAATGATTTGGTGTATAATACTGTCTAGTAGATATTCCAGATCCACATGTCAAGAAAAAATGTTGTTATCCTTCTCAATATTATTCAATTACAGAAAAATTGATCTCTAATTTTATTTAGAGAGATCAACAAACGCACTTAATACTACTGTTACTTACTTTTTAATTTAATTTTTTATTAATGACCTATTAAGTCCACGTGAATTTATTGCAGTATAACATAGCCCGGTGATGCTCAGCCTCTGGCCTGTTGGCCAGATATGGCCCCTGGAACCATTGGTATCCAGCCCATGGGACTCGCTACAGATTGGGAAATTTGGTGGCAGGGGAGTAGTGATAATAATTACGGCCACACTCCCTTGCTGCCAAATTCCCAAACTCTAAGCCCTGTACAGCAGGTTGGGGCCAAGTCATGCCCCCTCCCCCCATCCCCGCAGGTGGGTGAGATGGGCCAGGCAGTCCCCTTTCCCCTCAGGCTGAATGGGGCTGAGCCATGCCCCCTTTCTTCTCCCTCTCTCCCCCACTTTGGGGCCAGGTTAGGGCTGACTCAAGCCCTTCTCCCCCTCTTTCCTGCAGAGCCAAGTTAAAACCCCTTCTTCCCCACCCCCTGTGGGGCCAGGTTGGAGCTGGGATGCACCCTCCTCTCCTCTCCTCTGCATGGCCAAATAGGGCTGTGTAGGCACTGCCCAGTTGGCCTGCTGGCCAATAAGGTTGAGCATCACTGATATAGCCCAATGTAATTGGATGATGATTACATTTTGCTAAACAAACTTGTTAAATGCTTCCCTTTTTCTATGGGTGACTATAAACCATTCACAGTGTCACTTCTTTTTTACTTTTTCTATGCCCTGGTTGAACAATGTTTATACCATCTTTTAGGGACAGGTGGTTGGTGGGGGCATAAAAGCTTCTCAGATATCATCCCTAGAAAGGAGGTGTTCTCTGAATTTGAATTTGCTGTTCACGTTTTTTCCCTTTGTCATGGGGAGAGGGGAGCCAGATCTTCTCGTTTTGGCTTGATTCAATACCTGATTATTGCTCATGGTTACTGTCCAGCAGTCTTTTATTTGGTAAACTAACTAGTCTGTGAAAATGTGACTTCCCCTTCCCTCCCCCTCATTGTACACTGACATGCCCACTTAACTAATAAAAACTTAGTAGTGACATAAAGCACTTAAAGTGTTTCAGGTATTTATATTTAAACTGAATTAGGCTTTGTGCTAAATGAATAATTCTTAACATTATCATCTAAAACACAAGAGGCAAGATTTAGGAAGTAGATATGGCCTTCTGAGTTGCAACTGAATTCTTTTCATAACTAGATGGTACAATTCTGGTCCACTGGAGATAATTGGTACAAAAAAGATTTGATCTTGAAAATAATACACAATTCTGAAGGAAGAAATGTAACCTTAATATTTCTGGCTTTTCTGCTCACAGACTACACAAGCAAACTTAGTAGCAATAATTTACTGCTGGTTTATCTTTATGGTCATGAACATGGAAGTTTATAGTGTTGACAGCTAGAGAAGTTGATAAAATATCTAAATGTTGGCTATAGAAGCTGAACAAACCACAACATTTTACTAGTGATATATTAGCAAATAATACACTAGCAATTTTATCTTAATCATCTATGAAATCAAGGGTGCTTGTAAGAGACCATTACAATTAAGTGGTTAACTTCTAATTTTTCTTTACAACAGAATCATATTCTCTGGATAGATGAGAGAAACTTAACTGCTCGTGTGGAAGCTGGCATTGTTGGCCAAGATTTGGAAAGACAGGTATTTTCAGTTTTCTTAGAAAGTACCAGTAGTTCTTGTTTGAGCTTTATTTGAGTTTATCCTCTGTATCTTGTCCACTTCATTAAATAGTGATCTCTCCCAAAGATGCTTCATGGAAACTTTGGTCTGTCTTGCTTGCCAGATTGAAAGGAATTGTATCCCTAGCTATGTGGCATTTTTTTAATGCTGGGTATTTGTTTGTAGCTTTAATTAGTATAATCTTGCCAACTCTGATGAAACGTGAAGTAATATTGGGTGACATTTCATGATGCAAGACTTGCTTCCTACCAGACTGTAGATGTGCTAATGTGTGGTTACAAGGCATCTCACATAATATCAATTACATATAGACAGGAAACTACTTATGTAAATCAGTATTCTGTGGTGCACATATTTCAGCAATGAAGATAGGCTAGTGTGCCTGAGAGATGAAGGTTGAAGTAACTTGCAAATAAAGGTTTTCCTATAGTAGTTTGAAGTTCAGATTAAATTTAAAATGGGTGTCTTGTAATGGCACCTTTTTACGGACTATGGTTTTGTAAAAATGCTTACTTTGAGTTCCTTGTATGTACTCTTGATCTTTAAGTCAGTTTAATGGAATCTTTGGTCTTAAAATTAGTTGTTGTGCTCATGCTGGAAACATTTCTCCTTATTCTAGTACATGGCAGTGATTGAGACTAGAAGAAGTGCCATATTGGGTCAGAAGAATGGTCTGACCCAATTTTGTATCTCTGACAGTGGCAAGTAGTAGCTGCTTTAGAAGAAAAACCAGTATCTACAGGGCATATGTGTTATAATCCATCCCCTGTCATACCATCCCTAGTTTAGGGATGTCAGAGGATATATCCCTGCCTGTTCTATTTAATATCTGTCAATGAACGTTCCAAGTTGCCTCCAGAATCCTCCTTGCAGCAGAGAAAACCAAAGGTTGAATAAAAACCCATTCATATAAGAAATAAATGCTTTCTTCAACAAACTTTTGAGAGGACTCTGGCCAAAAGATAACTTATGCAAGCAGGGCCATCTTTTGGGGGGGGGGGGGGGG